CAACTCGATTACCACCTGTGTACCTAATTCTGAATTGTATTCCACATCTTTAAAACAAAAACCAAAAACAAAATAATGAATGCTGTATTTGAGAAAAATAAAGAAAAAAAAGTAGCCAAAAAGAAAAAAAAGAATTTACTAGGGGAGCGGGTCTACTCCCACACAACTCACCAGACTAGCCACATCGCCTATCTCCAAGGCCATCAGAACTCACTCCCCACTGTGAATCAACATTTCAGGCATGCTGTATTATTCACATGTAAAAATTAATCAGCAGGGTGGAAGGTGGTCAGGATATCTCTGAACAAAGTTCTTCCTGCTAAAGCACTTCGGAAATTCCTACCAACTTGGGAAACTCTTCTTCTAACTTTACTAAATTCAAAATTCAAATATAAATTCAAATATAATTTAACATAATTCCTCAGATATTTTTCTTCCATCTCCAGCATGCTCATCCTATGATATTTAATAAGCTCAATAAGGATTCATCAGGGAAGAGGGCCGGGTCATGAAAAATCAGCCACCATTGTTTAAATCCCAACATAAGACTATTTTTAAACTATTTTAAATTATTAGTTGAAACAGAAAATAATTTCCCCTGTCTACAAAGTTATGATTTAGTCCTTCTAACTCAGCCTTCAAATATTTATTTTCCTGATCTTCACATTTTGCATTTTCCATTTTTAGAATGTCTTCCTTGCCCCATTTCTAAAAGTTTGAATCTCACTTATTATTTCAACCTTTCTTCTCGGATTCAGATGCAACAAACCTTTCACTACAAGCCTAGCTATGTGCTGAGCAATGCATAGTTAACTCACTCTATTATCTAGAGATTTATCATTTTACAGATGAAGGAACAGAGCCTCCATTAAGTTCAGTGACTTTCCTGCTTTCACGGTCTCGAAAGTGGCCCCTCCAGAGTGTCCAAGTCCACATGCTATCAATGGGGCCTCTGGCTAAAATATTTCCCCAGTATGGCTTGCATCTGGTTTTATCCTTCTGGGTCTTGTTCACGATCTGTTACATGATTTGAGAAGAGGGTTTTGCTCCTGATAATCTCAGGCTTGGAATCAAGGATTACAAGCAACTTACAGAAGGATAAATACAGCTACTGCAAACAATCTGCTCACAGGGGACCTTCTTCCTGGATTCATATAATGAGGCATTAATTCCTCTTTGTAGATTTAGTCCAAATGAAAGGTCCACAATTAACAATATGTCAGGTCGTATTCCCTTATGTAATTTCAATTATCTAACCAGTAGATCGTTAACCCAAAGGGTCAGAGCACACGATTAGTGAGAGGGGACAAAGGCCTATTCCTCCGTCCTGTGCAGGCCAATGGCATGTACATCTCCTATCCTCAGTCAGCCCAGCAAGTGCCGGTCATACTAGATACTACAGGGCTTGTAGTCAGAGCTTGTAGGGGGAAAAGGCAGAGCATTCTACAGCTGATACTAATACCAGGCAAAGAGGGATACACATTGACATGACAAGAACCACTAACAATGATTACGGTTAGGTATTATTTCAGAATTTCAAGGCATAAAACCATTCACCAAATATCAACATGTTGTGAAAACCTGCCAAAACATAATGCTATCTCTCTAGTCAAAAGCAAAAAAAGCCCTCATTTTGTTCCCTTCTACAAGTCAAGTGTGTGCTTTTTGCTTGTTTTGTTTGCTTCCTTCTTTGTTACTCTGCACATCCTATCTTTTATGAACAGAAGATGCACGTCTATTCTTTTCCATAGAAATCTCCAGATCAGAGATTTACCTCTGGTGACTTTTATTTATTTATTTTTTTTGAGTTGGAGTCTCACTCTGTCGCCCAGACTGGAGTGCAGTGGCCACTCCCGGCCACCGCAGCCTCGACCCGTTGGGTTCCGGCGATCCTTCCACCTCCGCCTTCCAAGTACTGGAACTACAGGCGCGTACTACCACGTCCGGCTAATTTTTTGATTTATTGTAGACATGAGGTTTCTCCAAGTTGCCCAGGCAGGTCTCGAACCCGTGGGCTCAGGCAATCCACTCACCTCGGCCTCCCAAAGCATGGGATTACAGGCTGAGCCACCAAGTTCGGCTTCTGGTGACTTTTAAATGCTAAATCACACAAAACATTACATTGATATTCTGAGAACATGGTCAAAACTGTACCTTTAGTGTGGTGAAAATTCACTACCTTACTAACCTAGAATATCATACTGGATATCAAAAAACACTATCAAGAGAGTAAATGACTTCAGAGATAATAACAGCTTTCAGTTCGATTTGTAACACAGGAGACCCCAAGTCCAAATGTGTGTAAAAAACAGGAGAACATTCCAGAGACTTCTGCAAGTTATTTACTGCCCTCAACTGATCCACGGTTGGTTTACTGATGGAAAGAAAGAGTAACAAAAGGATGTCTAAAGTGTTAAAAGGTCAGAGCAGTAAAGGATGAATACGAAATATATTTGGCCCTTACAGTGCAATGATACTGCACATGTGAACTCAACTTACCACCCCACAGACTTAGTATAGGCTTAAATTCCTTTGATCTACTGAGGAAATGCCTTATACTGTAAAATAGCTGATCTTTTTACACTGGTTCAAGAGATCCTCTATAACCCCTATAAGCACTACATTTCCTCACTGGTGTTGTAAAAACCACCAAAACCACCATAAATCGTCCTTGGTGTTATTCGTATGTAAACTTTCATATTACTTTTTAAATGAAAAGCCATGGATCTTCATTATCAGTTAGGTCCTTTGTAAAAAGTCATGCAGAGTTTGCTTGTTCAAAAGTGGGTTGGGTGAAAATTCCACCCCCCACCCCCCACTCTCACTATGCTAGATTCTGCAATATCTAAGTTCTATTCAATTAGTGGAGAAAGATACAGGCGTTTCTGCCCTTATCAAGTCATGAAGTTTCTTACAGTCAAGAAAGACAAGTCTGTTTGATCTACACACCTGTGAATTAAGAATGGATATTTGCTGCCAGTCTACTGAACCATTACATCGGAATTCAGGGAAATGGGGATTTTACTTTCTTTCTCTTCCCTCCATAGGATGGAGGGATTTCCTAAAAGGCAGGATCCACAAGGGAGTGGCCATGGGCCAGCGAGTCCTAGGTCTGAATCACGGCTCCAGCTGGCCTTAGTTCCCCCATCTGCTGTGAGATAACAGTCACCTAACAAGGTCGTTTCGAGATTAAGAAGGAAGGGTATGTTCAAGAACTCATTCTTCCACATACGCCTGCCACATGGGAGATACTCTAGCTGAAAGATGAGTCCATAGAAAGGTTACCGTGGTTACTTTCAGGGCTAGCCTTGCCCGCTACCTTCCGGGATATAGGCAGTGCCCAACTTTAAGCTCACGTAAAAAGACCTGAACAGGCTCAGTGTTTTCTTCCAGAGAGAAAGAAGCCAGTCGAATCCCAACAAGCCATCAGAATGGAAGTCTTCGGCAGATGACAGGCACTCAAGCCACAAAATCTGGCTGGCTTCCCTTACTTCCTGGGGGTGGGGGAGGGGGGATACACACGGTGCCCCTTGCCCTAGTCACAGTCCTCCGCAGGACTGGCTTCTCTGGAATACGTCCTCCCTCTGGGCGGGCAAAGAGCAAGACCTCGAGCTTCTGCTCCCCGGCACCCTCCTGCGCGCTCCCCGGCTCCTTCCAGAGGCGGCGACTGCAGCTCGGCCTCTTCTCCCGTGCCGCGTCCCCCAGGTGGCCGGGGGTCCCCGCGTTCCCAGGCATGGAGCGCCAGGGCCTCAGAAACCGTCTGCACTCTGTTGCCCCACCAGACCAGCCGGCACCCTCCTCTCCCTTCTCCCTGGCAGAGCACGCAGGGTGCCTGCACCCTGAGCAGTTCCAAAGCGCGCCTGCTGGAAGGGCGCCACCCATCACCCTCGCCTCCCATCCCAGCGGAGTCTCGCCGAATCCAGCCAGGGCCCCTTCCTCCAGCCAGCCCCAGGGAAGCTTGCGATGGAGGTATGAAGGGACACTTTCTAAGACCCATTACACAGCCCTCTCCACCCTCATTTACCGCAGGAGCGGGGGGGGCGGGGAGAGGAAGGGCGAGAACGAAGAAGCCAAAAACCATTGAGCCCGGAGTACCTCCAAATCGGCTGCGCTCCCAATCATCCCCATAACATCACCTCAATTGACTGGCATCCCCCCCCCCACAACAGGGCAGCTCTGCCAAAAGCCCGCGAGCAGCACCCCACAGAAACCCAGAGCCCCTGCCGCCCGCCCAGTTCTTGCCCCACGGGGCAGTCTCCAGAACCGGCACGTTCCACCCCCGGGGAGACTCCCCGTTTTCCCGGGGCAGAACCCCGTCTGCGGGGTTTCGGAAGTTTCCCTCCTCCCGTCTCCAGCCCCCTTCCCGGAGCCCCCAAACGGATCCTGCTCAAGGCGAGGAAGCGGGGAGGTCTCCCCCAAATCTGCGCTCACACCGGGTCCGCCTCCTCTTCCCTCCCCCCGGCTTCCTCCCTCCGGCTCCAGTCCCCGCGCCCCCAGCGTCTCCAGCGCCAGCGGTTCTCTCGCCCAAGAAGAGGAAACTTCTTTCTGGGCTACATTCAGGTCGCAGCAGGAAAGGCTTTCCCTTCCCCGCCCGCTCCAGGGGCGCGCTCGCCCCTTGCCCCCGAAAGGCTTCACTTCCCCCTCTCCCCACGCCCGCCCTCTGAGACTTTTCCTCGGGCTGCTAATGCCACCAGACTTTCCAGGTCAGAAAGTCCGGTCGTGTCTGAAACCCCCACAGGGGCACCCCGGATTCTTCCAGAGATCCCCCCCAGTCCCGCGTGGCTTGCAAAAGACAAACAAAACGGGAACCCCGGCAACTTTGGTGTGTGTGGTTGGGTGTCTGGGTGTGAGAGCGCGCGCGCGATCGAGAGAGCATCGCCGGAGTTGGGGCAACAGCTGCCGGAGCACATCTGGAAGGGGGGAGGGGGCTCGACGCGGAGGGGACCAGAAGCCCCCGGCAGCGCCAGGGCCGAGGGCCCGGCCAGCCTGCGGTGCGTTACCTGTCCCATGTTGGTGAATCCGTACTTGCTGGCGATGCGGCTGGCCTCCGAGAAGCCGCCGGCGATCTTGACCGCCCAGTGGTTGGTG